CAACCTGTCTGGACTTCCCTGTTAATAACTTGCTAGTAACTTATGTTCCCATCATTTTGAATCTAGGGCATGAGCGTAAAAATACGGATATTTGTTTTTAACACCATAGCTCACAGTGTAACACTTTAGTAAGTAGTAAGTACTTACTCCTCACATTTATGTCTGTTATGAGCTGTTCGTTTATCAGTTTAACTAACAGAGGGCACATGGTTAATTGCAGGAGGAGGACCCCTGTACCACCTCCTACAGTTCACCTTAGTCTTACTAGCCTCCACAATGATGGACTGGTTTTCTTGTATTTATTTTTTGTGGAATCAGTGGACTGTTTAAAAATGTATTGGGAGTAAGAGGTGTTGTCATTTCCATGATCTTACTTGCTGTTTTGCCCAGATTAAAAATGTTAGCTTCAGGTTTGACAGGTTTCCTGGGTTTACAAAACACCAACAGACCTTCTGTAATGTATGCTTTGAAAATTGTGTATCTAACAAAAAGACATGAGCTGATGGTGGCAGAGTTGGCAATGCTAAGATTTTTACTGGGAGTGACCAAAATAGATCGGATTTGAAATGAGTATATGAGAGGGACAGCTCAGTTTTAGGTTTAGTTTGGAAACAAAGTTAGAAAGGAAAGGCTGAAGTGAAGGTGGAGAAGATAGTAGATATACTGGACAAAGCACGTTGAATATGCAGGTGCCAGGCAGGAGGAAAAGAAGAAGATGAAAGAGAAGGTTCAGGGATGTAGCGAAGGAGAACATGGTTGTGGCTGAAGAGGATGCTGGGGGTAGGGTGAGATGGCACGAGGTTATCCACTGTGGCAAAGCCTAAAGGGACTAACCAAAAGATAAAGAAGCAGAAGATATGACAGATTTTTAAAGCAGCTGCCAGCAACGTAAGATGGACTCTGTAGTTGTGCTATAAAAAGTTGATATAATATACCTGGAGACACCAAAACTGAGTCTCTGGAGGAAGTGGACATGGATCACACAAACACTTTCCACGGACCGTGTGTTTCTGTTACGTATTCACATAATTACTCATCGTCTTATATTAAAAGTGACCACATTTCTATCAATCTATGATGTTTTTGTGGATATTTCACAAAAGATATTTTAGGATACTGATGTTTTGCCATTTAGCTCATTGTGCTCCTTTACAGAAGTAAGACCTCCCAGAGATTAGAAATAAACCGAATATAGTTTGTAAGGGTGTTTTATTATTTTTATTATCATTATTATCATTATTATTTATCAAACTACTGCATTACAAGTAAACCTGTTTTTGATTTCGGTATCATGATGGAAATTAAATGTTCATGTGAGGCTAGAGTCTCCCAAAACAAAGCTAAATGTTCCTCAATTCAACTGAGCTTAAATCAGACGTTTAAACACACTGTGTAAGAGGCCACGTTTCAGACATATTACAAAGCAGTGAGGTAGTTCCATTTCAACACTGATCTCTGAAATTTGAACATGCCAATCATAAATACAAGTGAAGTAAAACGAGCTGCAGTGAAAGCTGGAATCAAGAACCTGTTTGGCTTTTAGTTTCTTTTACCTGTGAGAAGTAGGTGATTCTATTTTATGAATCTTTAAACTTAGTTAAAAGCATTTGTTGTTATTTTGGGTTTAACTAGAAAGATATAGTGGCACGTACAGTAATGGTCTCCCACTTGATGCGCAGGATATTTGAACCAGCAACAAAGGAAAGTGTGAGAAGAAACCCCTGTTGCTGGTTATCTTTTTGACATTTAAAGGTCCCATATTTAACAGCTGTCTGAGGTGAAAAACATCCCTACTTGTCTTTTGTCTTCATGGCTTTTCCTATCCTCTCTGCAGTCACTGTTTATAGCCTCCTTATACACCTTTTAGCACAGCTAGGCACCCTGAACATAATGAATTTTGTGTGTGTGTGTGTGTGTGTGTGTGTCTGCTGAAGACAGCCGAAGCAGAGATGTGATGACCTTAAAAAAATACTTGCAGCCAAAAATGTTACCTCACAGAAAATGACAGCCACAACATGAGCATAGACAGGCTTAGCAGTGGGATTAAACATCACTTACGAAAGACTGTCCTGCAGCTAAAATATCACTGCTTTGATCCCCATAGAAACCAATATGTCCATCAAGTGCCGTGTCTCGGTGAAGGGTCCTCGTGCTGAAGTCTGAATCTCTCGAACTATTGTTGTCTGAAATTTACCAAAACAAAACTTCAGGGTGAGAGCACTCTGGCTAGAAACAAAGAAGCTCAACACATATTGCTTTTTCCACATTATTTTTTTCTATCCTCCCACCATGCGCATGGATGTGAAATGAGTCATATAATGGGACAGAAGACGATATGATGAGCATCAACTGAGAATTGCAGGAGGCATCTGCTGTAAATATGCACGTCTGGTCTGATGATCAGAAGCCACACTAGTCCTAATCAAAGGCCTGAGGCAGCTTAGATGATGCTTTGGTTTATTATTATGCTTGTTTTTTCCCCCCTCCATCTCCAATAAGCTCTTTATTCTTTGAAAGGTGAACACTTGCAGCCGCCAGGAAAATCTTGTTAAGATTCAGTTTGATATCAGAATGTGTCAAAAAAAAACATTATGTATTCCTTCAGTTTTTGTTGTCAGAAGTACAAAGAAAATCATTTTTATCTATTTCAGACTTATGTTCCTGTTTGTATTTCACCTCTTCTTTTTTTCTAAATTGTATTTAAAATGCATTTCTTCCTCCTCTACACAGCAATTCAAACATTGTTAATGCTCCTATAACCAAAGTCTCATAAAATGATGGTTTGTTTTGATTTGAATATCATTCATATTGATGCCTGTCTTGTCTGATAGTTGAATAACCCATTCACCGCCTTCACAATTTTTTCTTCCCATTTTCTTCCTTCTGGCCTCCTTAACTGTTCTTCTGTCATCTTACTTCTATAACTTCTGTTATCTTCTGTGATATAGTTCTAATTTTCACTGACAGATAAGACACTGTCACTCAGGGCAGCGTGGCATTGTGTAGTGGTCAGTTCTTCAAACAGTGCCACCAGAAATGGATGGGAAGAAATTAGCTTTCAACCCTCCATGTGTTTTATCTGTGTCATAAAAAACAAGCCCAACTATCATTGCTGGTGCTAAAATGTCTTGTGTGAAGTTCTTACACTGTTAGCATTGTGTACTACTCTGTATTTTAATTTTGGGACTCCACTAGAGTAGCTTTGCATGTTCAAAATAATCCTTAAGTTTCTAGTAGAGGTTTCTTGCATGACACCATGTGCACATTGCTTGTGAGTTGTCTGACATATATTGGATGTGATTCAACCACAGGTCACGAGAGAATTATGTGTGTATTCCCCTGTCAGTTGGTGAGTCGTTGCCGGAGGTTGCTGGTTGTCACTTGGTGAAATCAGATGCAAAAAGGGTGCTGCGCCAAAAATAGCCATGTGATTCCTTTGGTGGCTAGCAGATTACCATGGTCACCTTTAGTTTTCTTTGGATGACATTAGCTTGTCCTCACATATTTGCTAAGTACTAGTTGAGGTGTAGTTAACGCACAACTTGTTGAAAAGAAGCAGGCAAGAGTTTGTGGATAACGTAGCTTGTTTTGTGCAAACTACGGGCAACCGCGGCAATCTTCTAGCAACTAAAGCAGTTGCAAGCAGGTTTTCACCAACCAGATTCTCTACAGACCTTTTTTGGGGGGGAGGGGGCAACCGCTCACCAACCGGTTGGGGAATACAGGTTACTCTCTGTGGTTAGTGGCTGGTGATTGTCAGGCTGTCACTGACTGAACTTTATGCCTAGGTGACTAGGCCCTTATTCACTTTATTTAATCGGGAAGTCACACTGAGATTAAATCTATTTTACAAATGAGACCTGCCAAGGTAGGAGACATACAAACTCAAAAACCCAAGAAGTGCAACATCAAATATATAGTCTAAATACAATATAGAAACACCCTCAACATTAAACATTAGTGGCTTCTCAAGAAAAAAGAATCAACGCTCTCAATGCTTCAGGTGACCATATTAGTGTTATCCTCTTCCACAGAAGTTATACAGAGCCAAGCTTGAGTTTTTGGCTCACAGGGACTAATTTTACATGCACTGACCCCATTATTACTTTAGCCAAGTTTAATATCATCATCTTACATTGTAACAGTATATATGACAGAAAGTAAGTCAAGCACAATAGCTCCACTTTAACATTGCCAGTTACGATACTATGCACTGGATGATAAAAGTCAATCTTGTTTACTAGCTTGCTGTTATTAATGAATTTTTGCAGTTTATTCTGGATTACATGAACAGTTATTCAGAGTCAGACCTTCTTTAATTTGTCTATATGTCATCAGGTAAGCTCAAGCTGATTACTGAATCTGATCTAATGTATTAATGAATTATTGTTATATTATAGGTCATTATTGTTATTTTGTTGTTAATTATAGGTTTGTGGTTGGACATGTGTTTTGTTATGTTGTTCTCTCACGTCTATGGGGTATCCATCCTTAGTTAGAGTTGATCCCTATATTGTAGTGAGTTGGCCTTAAAAGATCAGGCCTGGTAAGGTCTTTTTGGAATATAATGACTGACTGTGTCCTATCGTGTCTCTACGGTGGTCTCAAGGACAGCTGTTGTCTAGTTTGGGGAAATTGCAAATTTCATTGCATTCCTTTATCTGGAGGAAGGAGTAAAAGATATAAAGAAAACTCGCCATGGAAGGATAAAAATCAGAATGGGGACCTGTGCTCGTCTCTCTTTTTCTTTATCAACTATTTCCACAATAAGTCAATGTTTTTTACTACAGCCCTCACAAAATATCTATAACAGCTGTTATGATTTGTTCAATGCATTTACCTTTAATAACTTCCCTCGCAGCCAGCTGAGTCAACTTTCATTTTTTGTTGGTTCCAAGACAAAGCAGGCTACTGATGCATTTGCTGTGTGTTTGTTATTACTAAGCACAGGCATGCATGTGAGCCCTTTATAGCTGATGATGTGGTTGTTTTCTCTACAGGTGAGGATGACCGTCTGGCTCTGAAGGGCAAGGTGTCAGTTGGAGACCTCTTTAGGAAGGAATTCAAGGTTCATGACCCAAATGCCAAATGGATAAGCAGTAAGTATCTGTGTTAAAAATGAGACAAGGTTGTTTTTAGAATTTGTATTTTTATGCACACATCACTACCTAAAGCTGCTTTTGGTGATATTTTTGTTACCGCAATTGTGTCAGTGGAAACATAACTGTAGTCCGGAAAGCTTTAACTTTGAGCTTATTGTTTAGATTCACTGATCCTTGGGATTGGGTACTAGCGAGTCTCCCTGGCTTACACAATATGATTGTTCATTTATTGTCAATATCCACATTGCTTCTTTTCTACTTTGAGCTTTAGGAAGGAAAGGGGATCAGGGCTATTTTTTAGAGTTAATGGATTAGTTAGTTAATGGATTTGAAAGACCAGATGTTATGTAGCACAGATAAAGTGAAAAATAAGCCCCACTACATTAAGAAACACTGGGAAGAGATGTATAAAAACATCCGTCCTTTTTCTACCACTTCTCTGTGTCTGGGATGCTGTGGCAGCTGTGTAAGCAGATATGTATGGACCTCAATCTCCCCAGCCACTACCTTTGCCTCATCCGGGGAATACAGAGGTGTTCTTAACGCAGCTGAGAGATGCAATATCTCCAGAATGTCTGGGGTCTGCCCCGGGGTCTCCTCCCAGTTAGACATGCCCGAAAAATCTCACCTAGGAGGCATCCAGAAGGCATCCTAGTCAGACACAAACCTCAAACAGGTTCTAATTTGTTCTGACAGAAGAAAGAGAGACAACCACAACACTGAATCCCCTGGTTCTAAACTGGATGTCTTATTATTTTTGTTCCATTTTTTTAAAGGAACCTCTTACTAAACCATGTCCTTTTCCTCTGTCCTTTCAGTTTTGCCACACAGAGAGAACGTTTATAGTGTAGTTGTTGCAAAAAACAGTTTGCCAGCTTGAGATGATATTGCGAAACATCTGTTGGTCCCACTTCAAAGCTTGTGTTGCTCTACGATTGTTCAGTTAACTGATTTGTTCAATGAAACATTGCACCATCCAGTCTGTCTCAGTAAAACAAACGCCTGCAGCAGTGGGATAAACTGTGTACTGGTCACTGTTACCAGAGACATACTTAGAATCGAGGAATATAGATCAGACATTCAGCTTTAAGAAAACAGTACCAGCTGTCAAGCATGGTAGTGATAGCATCATGCTACCCCTATCATTGAGGATTAAGCTAAAACTTGGAAGTAAACGAGTAATTATACAGGACAATGATGCCCAAAGACACATGAAAGCTGCTTGTAGAATTAATAAAGCATGAAGCTTTTGGAGCAGCCCTTTTAAAGTCTGGACCTTGAACCCATCAAACTTACTGTGGACCATGCTTAAAATTCAAGTGTGTGAAAGAAAGACACCATTTAACTTCAACAAACCCAGCTGGAAAAGGGGTTAAAAATTCAGCCAGACGTTTGCTGAAGTATTGTCAGTTTGTGGTTCTAAATATAGAACTAAAGGGTTTGAATCCAAATTCTGCTTTTAATTGTTCTTGACACAGTTTTACCTCCACACTGATGTGGTGACAGCATGAGCTGCTGTATATCTCAGTAGGTGCGATGAATAATTAGAAATGTGAAAGTCTCTGGTTTACATCTTAACCAACATACTTGTGTCTTTTCTTTTACATTTGGTACATATTTGAGGGTTTTTGCATAATTTTCTTTTCGAGGGGGACGGTGAGTGAAGTTCGCTGGCTGTGAGCGTCGGAGTGAATTCTGGATGAGCAGGAATTCTTTTCAGCAAAGGCAAAGCAATCAGAGAGCTCAGCTGGTTAAAGAGACTTTTATCTCAGAGGTTCTGGGTTCAAATCCAGCTTGAAGAAGGAAATTGTGCTTTTATTACTTTTACAGTAGCTGACAATTGTTCATTCAAAATGATGCGGTGTTCGAGCAAGCTGCTGCACAGCTCAGTAGGTCTAACGATGTGTTAGAAAAGTGAAGAGTTTGGGTTAAGTTTCACTTTGGGAAACAGTCCTGTTGCAATTCAGCTGCTTCTCTTGAGGTGAGCTATACATTTTTCCTCATAACATTACAGTGAATAACGTTGCTCCCTTCCATCTGCTTCATTAGCTCAGCAGGTTTATTGTAAAGTTTGAGTTCAAACTCAGTCTTAGACAGATGTGCAGGTGTCTGTTTCTCACACAACAAACTGTAGATTTTATTCATGTTTCTGCTTTATTCATCTGTTTATTTACGTTGATCAGCTCTGTAACATGTCAGAGAATAAATGAGTGAAGGCCTGAGTTGGTTCACTGAAGTTATTACATTTATCCTTGATAAGTGAACAGCTGGATTTTCTCTCTCAGATCTTTGTAGATGAAGAGGTAAACAGGCCACAGCTTCAGTCACATTTCCACGCCTTTTACTGGTTGAATTAAAATGTGGAAAAAACTTATTCTCCGTAGAAACTGCAGAAGAAACAAGGATGGAGTGGAGTCTCTGCAGATGCACAAAGAAAGAATTGCAGTCCCACAAATGTGGATAAACTCTAACATAAAGATCTTCCTTTAAGCTCCAGCTCTGATCCACACTGTAGGAAACAAATCAGAACATCAGTGAGACCGAAACAGTCAAATCAAACAGCTTTTCAATTGGCTCATTTTGAGGCAAAGCTACTGCTGAGCTTCTCCCCCTTTATCACTGAGCCTCAGCCCAGACACCCCTCTGAGGAATCTCATTACTGCTGCTTGTATCCACATTCTTATTATTTTGGTCACTGCCCGGAGTTCATGGCTATAAGGGAGGGCAGGAACGCAGATGGACTGGTAAATCGACAGCTTCGCCTTCACGCACAACTGTCTCTTCACTAAAACAGATTGGTACAGAATCTGCAATACTGCAGATGCTTCACCAGCCTGCCTGTCAATCGCACGCTCTATTTCTGTTCCACTCTTGAACTCCTCCGCTGGACACAATAACTCATCCTCAACCTGTAACTGTAGCAGTCCACCCTTTTCTTGGTCAGAACCATGGCATCAGACATGTAGAAGCTAATTCACATCCATGCCACCTCACACTTCGGTTCCAAATCACCTCAGTCCGACCTGGAGGTCACTGCTGGATGAACCCAGCAAGAGCACATCATCCTCAAAAAGCAGAAACAAAATCTGGGGTATAAAATATATGTGTAATAAATAACCCCTCATGAGACTGTTAACCATTTCATACAGCCTAATTAGTAGAACATAATTAATTATACAAAGAATAATACGTGTAATGCTTTTTTTCTTTTTATTGTTATAACCAAAGACTGTGCAAGAGCATCACACTGCATTTTAGTAAATATTAGATGTGCAATCAAAGTAATCAGTATTGTTTGTTTGTAGGCTTTTGCATTTGCACGTGCACTGTTGTGCATGTGTGCTTACTGCTTGAGATTCCTCCAAAGAATATTTTCCATATGCACCAATAGCGAACCAATTACCTGAAACCTCAACCCTCATTTTTCTTTGATCAGTGACAGTGTGCTGATGTTGCCATTGTTACAATTCATCACCACCAATTTCTGACGCTTGTTTTTTAATAGCGACGCTGTGACAGCATAAACACTGACAGCACCTCGGGGAGGCAATGAGAGAAAATTATATACTTTATTTTGCATCAAGGTAAAACGGCGACTTGATGCAGCCCCACACGTCTTAGTTTGGCATTGAAGAGAGCGATCACAGCTCGAAGATGTGAGGGATCCGTGCAGCTGAAGGATTAATGAGGTGGATTTTGTCTTCTCTCGTGCCCAGCGAAGCTGTCTCCCTCAATCAAAACATCTAAGATGGCTCCTACAAAGGACACAGCTGTTAAATCTCCTCTCAAATCCCGAATTTGCAAAACCTTCTCCTCTGTGATTGGCTGTAATTAGAAAGCTGAAAACCCATATTTATTATATTAGTGACAGGAAGATGCCGTTCCTCTGGATCTCAGATGACAAGCTGAATAAATTTCTGTCTGGATTTTTCTGTTTGTTTTAGCCGCAGTTCCCATATGTGCTTAAGGATGAGCCGTCTCTCATGTGGCTGATTTGTTGTCGTTACTAGCTGTGACCCAGAAGTTGTAAACAAATGGATCATGCTTGAGTGAACCATGATGGATATCACAATCTGCAGTAGTGCTGTACACATCTGGAATCAAACATCTGTTCTTGGATGATTTCAGCAAAGGTTCAAACTGTGGCAGAAGAGGTGTGGTTGAATTAAGACCAGTATGATTAATGACAAATAATAGTGCTCATTTTCTGCTTCTCTTAACCTTTTTTTTTTTTTTGCATGAAGTAAAAAAGGAGTAGTGCTGTACAGAAAACAAGCTCTGCAAGAATCCATACACATCACAGCATTCACCAAGAAACTTTAGGCATATCATCAGAAAAAAGTTCACTCTTTCATCCTCTCCCTTTTTTTGTGCTGTTGACAGTTTGAGCCTTGATCTCCAGTTATATTCAGTATACCATTAGATACACCTCACAAGGAGGGAGACAGAGAGACCCAGAAGCTGTATGTTTTTTCTTTGTTAGTGTGCCATTTTAGTAGATGGAGTGCTCATCCAACTTGCATGCTTTCAGGGCTGTTTCGAGGAATTTACAATAATGGCTTCCTTTGTTGGAGGCTGAAATGGATTTTTTTAAAACCTAATTTAGCTCAGTTTTATGTTTTGCCCCCGGTCTCCATCTATCAATCAATTCCCTGGAGATAGACTAAATATAACCTTGAGAATCCATAATGATTGTATATTAGGCTGTTTTTATGAGGCCATAATGCTTCCTCATATCTTCTCCAATAGCATTAGCTTAAATATATGCTATACTTAAGCCTCATTAGGGGCTCTTATCTGCTTCTAACAAAGGTTGCAGGGATTGCGATTCTTTCTTCATTTTGATGCTTTTTCTTAAGTTTATCACAATTTGGATCATTAGTGCCTTTGGCTATTGTTCCCACCTTTATTTTATTTAGCTTACCAAGTGATTGCCGAAATCTGAGTATGTAGGGAAATTGTCAAAACAGGAGGCAGACGGCATGAAACACAAGCCG